GGGGGGAACCAGGGGAGGGCCAAGAGGAGAACCGAGTCCTGGTGTGGGCTGTTGCCATCCTCCTAAGCCTCTACTGCCCTGATCTCATCCTTTTTGTCTGTCCCAGCCTCCTCCCTTACTCTGGTACTCCAGCCAATAACCGTTACACATGTGGAAGTCTTATGGAAGTGATGACTGCTATTTAGGGTCAGGGGACCCCAAATCTCCTTCCCCTAAATGTACCAGGCAAGAACTGAGGGGTTTTCCCCAAGCCATGCACGGTTTGCAAAGGGATTTCTGGGGTTTGCCCAGCAACTGCCTTTTGCGAATGGGCACACACAAGACACGTTCTGGTTGATGTTTCTGCAATGTTTAAAGTGGCCCGAGATGTTTTTCAGGGGGACAGTTCAGCGGGAATGTAAAGTACGCAGGTCAGAAGTTTCATAGTGAGGGTCACAGTCCCAGAATGTTGGAGCAGTTGGCACTGAGGGCCGAGCTCACACCAGTTCTAATGTACTGCATGCCACTGGTGACCTGACAAACTGCTCCAGGAAGTTTGCAACCCTTTAGCTGGCAGTCTAAAGTCCCGCAATTCGGTGGTAGAGTGTGGGAAGACGGGCCAAGAACGCTGGATGAGTATGCAAGTTTGTGAAAGAGAAAAGAGACTGAAAATTCTTGATCAGATCTGTTGAGAACAATCTCGGAATTCTTAAAACGGGCATTAGGGCACTGGGAATGGACTGGATAGCTCTCTGCCCAGGTTTAGAACCTACTTGCCAGACTGATCCTGCTTATTTTCCAAACTGGAAATGAGTGAAAACAGTCACCAGACAGTGTTGTTATAAGACACCAAGGACGTAATGGAACTCACTATGTAGACCAGGCTGGCCTTGAACTCATGGAGATCTACTTGCCTCTGCCTCCCGAGTGCTGGGATTAAAGGTGTGCACCACCATGCCCAGCCAAATGTTAGTTGTTTTATAAAGTATTTTATTATTTTTATTTTATGTGTATGCGTATATTGTCTGCATGTGTGTAAGTGAACCTGTGTCGTGCCTTTGGAGGTCATAAGAGGGCATTGGAACCCCTGGAATTGGAGTTAGGACAGTTGTTGGCTGCCATGTGGGTGCTGGGATTCAAACCTGGGTCCTCTGCAAGAGCAGTCAGTATTCTTAACCTCTGAGCCAACTCTCTAGCCCCATCAAATGTTAGTTTTTAGAGTGATTGCCCATCGCAATGCCCATCACAATGCCCATCGCACAGAATCTTATAGTATTTACACTGGATGCTCTATAAAGCTTTCCAGCAGTGAAAAGAGAATCAAGGACATGAACTGAGTCAACGCTGCCATTAAAAATCCATTTTGTAGGGCCAGGTGTGGTGGTGCAGGCCTTTAATCCCAGCACTTGGGAGGCAGAGGCAGGCAGATCTCTGTGAGTTCAAGGCCAGCCTGGTCTACATAGTGAGTTCCAGGACAGCTGGGGCTACAGGGAGACCCTGTCTCAAAAAACAGAAAAAAAAAAAAAAAAAACCACTTTGTAAGTTTAAGATATTCAAACAAGAAAAATATGTTCTTGTCTTTCCGTTATCAGATTTATTTCATTTGCACACAGCCCAGTGCCTCTGTAGATTAGAAATGACTCCCCTTGAATGAATTTGCAATGTATCACATCCTAGCAGTGGTGTTCCTGGGTAATATGATGTTGGTCTGATTTCCATTTCTTTGCAGGAAGCTGGAAACAATCTCTGGAAGAGCCTAGAGCTGATTCTTTCCGATGTTTTCTCTGTTTGGACAACTATAGGGATTACTGTATTTTCAGATTCTCATTTTGTTACTTTCTTTGGCATTGTGCTCTTGTGGGGGAACAATCACACATTCAACTTTTCTCTCTGTGTGTCTCTGTGTGTTTGTAGTTCTTAGTTTTGAGTTCTGAATTGTATTTCCTCTGGGATCTTGTTTATCTTGGTATTTTATGTGTTGTGCGTTCTCAGCAAGCATCTGTTGATCTTTCCATCTCCCTTTATATTTAAGAAAGAAGCTGTACAGTTTGGGGACTATGGCGCGGGGGTGGGGTGGTTGTCCACTTATAATCTGTGCTTTCGTAGAAGAAGCAGACACTTCACTCTGGAGGTGTTATACAGAGATAAAGGTATATTTGGTGGCATATAATATCCATGAAGGTAAACGCAGTGAGCAGGAATGCAGCTAATTGCCATTAACGTAGGACCAACTATAAGTGCAAGAAGACGTTGTGAGGCTGGAGAGATGCTCGATGGTCAGAGCACTGGCCGCCCTTCCAGAGGACTGCATTTGCTTCCCAGCACCCACATGGTGCCTCACAACTGTCAGTAACTCTAGTTTCAGGGGATCCGATGCCCTCTTCTGGCCTCTGTGGCCATTGCATGCATATGGTACACTTACATACATGCAGGCAAAACATCCATATGCATAAAATGAAAAAAAATAAGAAGACATTGGCAAAACACTACTGTAGTGAGGTGCTTTATTAACGACCTCTGAATAGATAAGTGTAGCAAGGTAAGGGCATGAAGAGTATAAACAAAAATAAAGATAGAAACGTAGAGAGACTATATCCCTAAGTATAAAATATGTCCATAGAAATTGCCTCTGTGGCCATTGCATGCATATGGTACACTTACATACATGCAGGCAAAACATCCATATGCATAAAATGAAAAAAAATAAGAAGACATTGGCAAAACACTACTGTAGTGAGGTGCTTTATTAACGACCTCAGAATAGATAAGTGTAGCAAGGTAAGGGCGTGAAGAGTATAAACAAAAATAAAGAGAAACGTAGAGAGACTATATCCCTAAGTATAAAATATGTCCATAGAAATTTATAAGAATGCATCATGCCTGGACCAGCATCAAAAGCTCAGCCCACAGACAGTTACGAGGAGCCGGAAGGTGCAGGCCGTGGATTAGCAACCCCTAGGACACGTGCCAGGCTGCTGCTTTTCCAGAACAGCCAGATGCACAGGCACAGAAAGAGGAGCAGTAAATCCTAGGAGTGCGGAGTGGGAGTGTTTAAGGTTTCAGAAAGGGAAGTTGGGGGCGGGCATGGTGGTGGTGGCACTGCATTCTGAGTGGATTCAGTGCTGTGGAACTATGGCCTCACAATGGTTAAGGTGGCATTTTTTTTTGTTGTGTCTTTTGCCATCGTTATAGGTCCTAAAATACTGCACAAAGCAGGGCGTGGTGGCGCATGCCTTTAATCCCAGCACTGGGAGGCAGAGGCAGGCGGATCTCTGTGAGTTCAAGGCCAGCCTGGTCTACATAGTGAGTTCCAGGACAGCTGGGGCTACAGGGAGACCCTGACTCAAAAAGACAAAAAAACAAAAAACTGCACAAATAGAAATCTTACAGTCCTGTTCCCAGATTGCAAGTCAGCAGAATTCACAACAGATACAGTAGAAACAGTACAGGTCATGTCTTCAGATTCTCAATAGAATTTACAAAGAGATGCTTTAAAACATTTTTTTTTATTTTATGTGTATGTGTGTATTGCCTGTATGTATGTGAGTGTGCCCATGTCATGCAATGCCATGGAGGTCAGTAGAGGTGTAAGAGTGAAACCACGGAGGACAAGTCACGGCCTTTGGGTTGCAACAGCAAGAGGTTTATTCAGGACACAGGTACCTGTGGGCACAAAGTCTCCTCGGAGGACTTGCGCGCCCCAGGTTGAGTTCAGGGGGTTTGCTGCCATGTGGGTGCTGGGAATCGAACCCAGGTCCTCTGCAAGAGCAGTCAGTGCTCTTAACCACTGAGCCATCTCTCCAGCCCCACAAAGAGATGCTTTTTAGAAGTGATTTTAACGTCTTCCTTTATCTTAAGGGCTTAGGCATGCTTCTGAAAATGTATTTTTATTTTGGTCCTGGTTAGTCCTATATTAACAAGCAACCGAAGGGAAAGACCTCTACAGGAAGCAGCTAAAAGATGTTAGAGGAAGCATGCAGCCTTACATGCCTTCACCCTTAAATCAGTAAGTCAGAAAGTGAAGAAACTAAGAATTCAGCAGATTAAAATATGCTAGCCAAGTAAACAAAAGAAGAAGTTAAGACTGAAAGTTCAGGTGCCAGCAGAGTGGGAACACGCCAGCTGTGAGCATGTGCTGGCTCCTGAGCTTTTGTTGTCTTGTTAATGAGACAGCCCGTGGTTACATACTGGATGGGGAGCTGTGAGGAGAGCATCGAGGCAGTGGGTCCTGTTCCCATTGCAAACCCAGGGGAGATCTCGGCTGCATGTGCTCTAGTGCTGATTTCCCCACAGTAATCTCCAGGTAGCATCACTATTTATATCTAAAAGAGCAGTGGAGTTTTAGGAGTTCCAGTGGACATTTACAGAAGCAAAACGATACGTACTGAATGCTTGTGTCCTTCCAAAACTCCTAATTTGAAGTCCTAATTCCCAGTGTATTTAGAGGTAGGGTCTCTGGGAGGTAAATACGTCATGGAGGTGGAGCCCTCACAAATGGCATTAGTGCCCTAATAAGAAGAGGAAAGAGAGATGATCTCTCTGTCATGCCAGGGTATAGCATAAAAGTATTTGTCTGCAAAGTAGGGAGACGGCCCTCACTAGGAATCTAAGTACCCAACCTTCAGATCCTGAGAGATACAGTCCTGTTGTTTTCAGGTGTCCAGTCTGTTTTTGTTACAACATCTCAACCTGACCATGATGCAAAGCAAACAGAGATTCAATTTCCTCTTGAATCATGACATTTGTTATTTGCAGTTATCAAAGCTACAGAAGGAGAAGGCAAACTTGCAAGATCAGCTTCGTGATTATGAGGACCGAATTAACTCTATGAAGTCTCACCTTAAAAATGTTAATCAAGAATTTTCATTTACACAGGTAAGAAATACTGATATGCATGTGTAGAAATGGATCATGGGGATTGCACATGGGGATTACAACTTGTGATTTTATTTTAGTGATATAACAGGAAATCCCATAATAATCAAACTGTTATAAACGAGCCTTGAACCTGAAAGAGAGGGAAATAGTGTTTTGAATAACTACTGTGAACAGTTTTAAACAAAACTAACTCATGTGAAGGGAGAAATCATAATTGAAAATCTCCTATAGGAAGAGCCAGGTGGTGCATGACTTTAATCCAGCACTCAGGAGGCAGAGGTCGGCAGAGCTTTGTGAGCTCCAGGTCAGCCAGGGCAATGTAGTGGGACCCTGTCTCAAAAAAAAGTCATACAGGGTTGAGAGATGGCTTAGCAGTTAAATGCACTTGGTGCTCCTGCAGAGGACCCAAGTTCAGTTCCCACCACCCGTGTTGGATGTCTCCTAACTGCCTGGAACTCTGGGTCCAGGGGATCTGACACCCTCTTCTGAACTCTGCTGGCACCTGTACACATGTGCACAAATACACACATGTACACACATATACATGTAATTAAAAAGAAAATCTTTAAAAAATCTCATTGTTAGACAGTAGATCATCATGAGGCAGGCAGGGGGGCAAGTGAGCAGAGGTGGGCATAAGTGCTGCTCAGTAGAACTTCTGTCTCCTTTAAACTTTTCAGTGTAACTGCCAGGTTGACTTTAGGTAGAGGTTTAATCTTCATGCTTCACAAATCCCTGAGGTTTCGTGGTATTTTAGTTCGAGTTGTGATTCTTTGAGACGTAGTGTAGCCCAGGCTGCTCTCAAACTTGTACCCTTCCTCCATTAGCCTTCCAAGTGCTGCGGTTATAAGTGTGTGCCATCATCTTAAGGATAATTCTGAGATTTAAAATTTTTATGTTCAGGAGACTTTTAAGATAAGTGGGAGAGGCAGGTTGCATTTTAGAAATATTAGCAGAGGGGCCAGAGAGACTGCTCGGGGTAGGAGTGCTTGCTTACCTTCCAGAGGAGCCGAGTTCAGCTCCCAGCACCCACGTCAGGCAGCTCACACCTGCCTGTAACTCCAGTTTCAGGGACTCTGACATCCTTTTCTGGACTCCAGTAGCACCCCTCAGGTATGACACACATGGAGGTATACATGCATATTGACATAAATAAAAATACATTAAAAAAAAGGGGTATTGACACAAATCCAGTTTAATGGGATGGACTGATTCTGCAACTTTAGTGCTATGAGTAACTTAGTGTGGAACTCACTGTCTGCAGAACCCCAGAAAAACCAGACTGCCGCACACCAGCCATGACAGTTTCCTGACTGCCAGCTCAAAAAGCCATTTTAATAAATGTATCTTCCTGAGAAAAATTTATATTAAAAATGGCAAAGCCATATTTTAAAGATAATTTTAGTACAGATTATTACTAATCTTAGTAGATTTTACTAAAATATTATTAGAAAATTTTGCATTTAATAAGCTTGTAAAATCAGTACTGGGATTCTTGAGGACTTGGTGAGTAATTGATAAACTATTTGGAACAGTATTTCTCCTCGCTTCTGTGCTGGAAGCTTCAGTTGTTAACTTGACCCACCTGGGAGGAGGGAGCCTCAATTGGGGAATTTCCTCCATTGGACTGGCCTGTGGCCATGTCTGTGGGGCAGCTTCTTGATGAGTGATGTGGGAGGGCCCAGCCCACTGTGGGTGGTGCCACCCCTGGGCAGTGGGCCTGTGTTGCATAAGAAAGCAGGCTGAGCAGGGGCCAGGGGAACAAGCCAGTAAGCAGCATTCCTCCATGGCCCGTACTCTAACTCCTGCCTTAGTTTCCTTTGTTGATGGATTGTGAGTACTAAGATAAACAAATCCTTTCCTTCCCAAGTTGTTTTTGGTCAGCACTTTATCACAGAGAGAAACTAACTAGAACAGAAATTGGTCCCACAGAGTGGGCTATTGCTGTGACAGACCTGACCATGTTGTTTTCGGGAGGATTATGGAAGTGTTTGGAACTTTGGGCTAGAAAAGCCATTGAGTGCTTAGATGTTTAGTGAGCTGTTCTGTGGAAATGTGGAAGATAATGCTGAAAGGTGTAGATGACAGAGACCTGGCTTATGCAGTTTCAGAGGAAAGTTGGAGAGTCCATCAGAGACTATCAGGGCTGTTCATGTGGTATTTTTAAATTGAGAATCTGTGGTTTCTGGTCATCTGGGGCTGAAGGATCGGCTGTGATTATGAAGAGACCAGCGTCACTGATGTGAAATCTGGGAAGTATTTCCTCAGGGTCAGCACACAGAAGCTGTGGTTCAGAGAGGGGCTGAGGCTCCATTTAAGGCTGGCAGCAAAACTTGGTAACGTGTGAGAGTCTCCCATGTGGTACTGGTGTTAGCAGCATGAAAGCTGCGGGATTGAAGGGATCATGGAGAGAATCAGGCTTGTTACCCAAGAGGTGGTAGGTGAAGGTACAGCCTCAGTGCAGAGAGGGCTGCAGTGTTTGCGATGTCAGGACTGTGGGATGACTTCCAAGGACAGCGGCAGATATGGAGCCAGCCTGAGCCTACAAGCAGGCTGTGTGTTGTGGATGGCAGAGCAGTGGAGTGCAGCTGCCCAGGTCCTTTGGAGCCCAGAAGATGGTGAGTGACTCCCAGATGTCCACTGTGGAGCTGTACTGCTGGACTTGGGTCTTGCTTAAGTGTGCCCAGTTCTTCCCTTTTGAAGTAGAAAGTATGTAACTTATTTTTGAGTTTTACAGGAGCCCAGAGTTGAAAGACTTTGGACTTTTAAAGTGAACTTAAACTTTTTAAATTGGGTTTTTTAACTGACCGTGGGAGTTTTAAAAGTTGGCCTGTACTTTATATTGTGATATTAACATGAGATCTTGAAGACAAGCCATGGAAATCTTATGGTTTAATAGTGATGTGTTTGTGTTTCAGGTGACAAGGGGTCAGTTGTCCTAGACAGCTTCCATTGTCAACTTGACCCACCTGGAAAGAGAGAGCCTCAGTTGGGAAACTGCCTCTATTGGGCTGGCTGTGTGGCTATGTCTGTGGGCATTTTCTTGATTGATGTGGGAGGTCCCAGCTCACTGTGGGCAGTGCCACCTCGAGGCAGGTGGCCCTGAGTTGTATAAGAAAGCACAGGCCAGGGGAGCAGCCAGTGAGTAGTGCTCCTCCAGGGCCCATGCTTCAGCTTCTGCCTCTGGGTTCCTGCCTTGGCTTCCTTCTGTGATGGACTATCACTTCGAAGAGTAAGATGCAATAAACCCTTTCCTCCCCAAGTTGGTTTTAAGTTGGACAACTCCTTACTAAGCTGCTGGTTAGGGACTGGAGGGAGTTCCTCATCAAAGCTGAATCACATAGACCAAGGTCACTTAGCTTTACTACAGCAGATGGATATTGAGAGTCTTAACCTGGAAGCATCCTAGCATCTGTAGCTAAGAGGTAGTCCCTAATGAACAGAGCTTACTACAAGGCAGGACTGTATGCTAATGAATTCTAAGAAACATGTGCGACTGCGAGTGTGCAGGAATCACTTCAGAATTAGCCCTGGTAAGTGGGGTCCGACCAATCCAATGTAGCCATCCCTTTCTCAGTTATTTTAAACCAGTATTTTTATTATAAAGAATGAGCTATAACTTTAAAAAGTTATTTATTAGCTGGGCATGGTGGTGCACACCTTTAATCCCAGCACTTGGGAGGCAGAGGCAGGCAGATCTCTGTGAGTTCAAGGCCAGCCTGGTCTACATAGTGAGTTCCAGGCCAGCTGGGGTACAGGGAGACCCTGTCTCAAAAAGACCAAAAAAAAAAAGTTATTTATCTTATTTTATTTTATGTGTATGAGTGTATTGCCTGCATTTATGTAAGTGCACCCATGTCATACAGTGCCAAAGGAGGTCAGAAGAGAGTGTAAGATCTCCTGGAACTGGAGTTATGGATGGTTGTTAGCCTCTATGTGGGTGCTGGGACTTGAACTTGGGTCCTCTTCAAAAACAGCCACTGCTCTTAACCCCTTAGCTATCACTCTGGCCCCCTCTGGATGGTTTTTGTCACTGGGAAGCCCTCATTTGTTTATATTAGATCTTCACAGGTGAGTCCAATGTCCATCTAAGTCACACTGTCCATATACACTTGGCTTTCTTTAGTTTTCTTTGATTCATCTTACTTCTGACAGTATTTCTGAGCAGTCCAGTGGTGAACCTTTGCACAAGTGATGAACAACAGTAACTGCAGAGTAACCCTGGGGCAAGGCATGTACATTTCACAGTGGGCAGTTAACAGTAGTTAATCCAAATGTGTGTTGGAGCTAGTGTTTTGTTTTTCTTTTTAAAAATATTTTACTATTTTTATATTACGTATATGAGTGTATTGCCTGCATGTATGTAAAGTGCACCTGTGTCATGCAATGCCTGTGGAGGTCAGAAGAGGGCATTGGATCCCCTGGAACTGGAGATAACAATGGTTGTGAGCTGCCATGTGGCTTGTGGGTGCTGGGACCCAAACCCAGGTACTCTGCAAGAGCAGCCAGTGCTCTCACCCGTGGACCATCTCCAGCCCTTGTTGGAGTTATTTTGTCTAATGGTTTATTGTAAATATTTTATAATGTAAAATTCAGAAAGTGTTCTACTTTGTGTGTTATTCTAGTCTCTTTACAAAGCAAGGGAGTTTGAAATTGAAAGTGAGGAACATTTTAAGGCCATTGCTGAACGAGAGCTGGGTCGGGTGAAGGGTGAGATTCAGCGGCTGAACAATGAGATGGTCGCTATCCAGGAGCAGAAGAGCGATGAGGAGGTGAGTGTGGAGTGTGAAGCGGGCTGGAGGCTCCGGCCTCTGTGCCTTCTCCCCGGGGACAGTGCCCTCTTCTCTGTACAGGAGACACACCCTCGGTTCCCTCACCCTCATGGGTTTTGGACTGTGAAAAGATCCAGAACTGTGGTGTGGGTGAAACAGTGATTGACAGTAATTTCTGTGCCGACTTCTTCTGCAGGTACCGAGGGATTTACTTTGGGGAAAGCACAGTGCTGCCTGTCAGAGACCGAGGCACGCACAAGCTGGGCGGCATCACTAAAAGACTCACCGTTTTAGTTTCATGTCTCACTGACCAATCTGATCTCAAGCACATGTCAGCTTGGGTCCCTCTAATTGCACTGCTTTAAAATCGATATTTTCTGAGTTCTCAGTCACTTGCTTTAGGGCTCCTTTCATGTTCCCATGCTTCTCCTTACTTCTAGAAATGCCTGTCTACGTGATATACACTTGGATAATGCATATTTTAATTTTATAATGCAACTCATATGTGGTATAATTAACACTAACTTGGATTTATGTATTCTCTGCTTTCTTTTATGAATATAGGTTCATTAAGTGACATTTATAAAAATACATTTTTAAAATTTTTATTCAATTTTTGTGATTTTTGTACAATATAATTTGATGGTATTTAGATCCCCTTCCCTACCCACACCTGCCCATACTGCTCCCACCCAATTTAATGTACTGTATTGTATATATAAACTTACATATATATAATATGACCTATAGAGTCTGATTTGTATTCCCACATGTCCTTCAGTGTGGGTTCATACACTGGAGCCTGGCTAATTTACCAAGAGTCCCATCTCTGTAAGGGATGCCTCTGCCCCTCCCAGCAGCCATCAGTTTCCAAAAGTTCCTTAGGTTGGGTTGGGGTTTCTTACCTGCTTCCCATGTCTATGCTGGGATTTTTGTCTGATTTGACCTTGTTTGGAACTTGTGCACGCCATCACCATTGCTGTGAGTTCATATGAGTAACTGACCAGCTGTCTGGAAGACTCTGTTTCCTTGTGATCATCGATCACCTCTGGCTCTTACTATCCTCCCCCACCCCTGTTCTCAATGATCCCTGAACCATGGGAGGCAGAAGGTTGGTCTAGGTGGTCCTACTTGGGGATAAGCAGTCTGCAGTTCTCTGCACATTGGCCATTGTGGGATTCTGTGTCAGTCATCATCTGCCACATAAGGAAACTTCTCTGCTGAGAGCTGAGAGATGCATTCATTTTATGTGTAGAGGTTGCATTGAAGATGTGTCGCTTAGGGCTAAGCATCTCACAGCCATGCATATTTGGCTATGTTTACAGTACTACGCATGAGTTCCCGTCCATCACGTGGGCCTTGATTCCAATTAGACAGCTATTGATTACCCCCAGTGTATAAGTCCCATGACTACACCAGTAGTGATAATTTGCCAGTTCAGTGATTGTTCATTAGATTTTAGCTGGGTTGGACCATTGATTGATGTTCTCCCTTAGCAGTTTGCATAATGTCCTTTAGAACTGTGGGAGCTCGTCTTCAGAGAGGAGGCTTCCAGGTCAGTTCCAGCTTCATTGCTCCAAGTTCTGAGTCTGAAGCATGTCCCGTGTTCAGCACCAGGGTTTTACCTTCAAGTTCTGGGAGGCAGTCAACGGCTGTGGCAATAGCCTGTGTGATTTGGGAGCCTCTTGGACTACCCTGACCAACAGCTGGAAGGGAGGCTTCTCTGCCTGGCTCTGTTCCTGGTTACATGGCCTTCAGCCACACTACTAGAAACATTTTTATCTTCTCTACTGGATTTGCTTCTGCTAGAAGTGCTTCCACAGCTTCCGAACGAGAGAACTCTGGGAGTAGCAAACGTGATGGGAAATGGGGCTGAAGGGCGTCTGCCATGGGCGTTAGCCAGCGTGCCAAGAACGTTGCTGTAACTGAGTTCACACACACATGCCCACACAGCTACTCATACACACACAACTGCACACACATACACACGCACTCACCTGCATATACACATGCACACACATACCCATGTATATACAGTGTGCACACACATACACACTTTTGGTTGGCTTTGGTGCAGAATCAGTGAGATTTCTTTGAAAGAACTACCCTAAAGCCTTTTAGAGAGAACTTTGGCTCAGCTACTGTTCTGACTTAGTATAATCATTTTCTTTTTTACAACTAAAGAATTAAAGTTCAAGCATGAAAGTTATATAACTAAACATATCATTTGGAAAGCAGGGACATGGCCTCTTCATTTTGTTGTGTATAATGCTGTGCTTTAGCTTAGCTTATAAAATAATGTCTTGTAATTTCTCATTCCCTTCTTTGCCTTGGAAATAGAACAGCATATTTAAAACTACTCAAAAATTGGATGACTTGAAATGTCAGATGAACTGGGACCAGCAGGCACTGGAGGCCTGGTTGGAAGAATCCGCTCATAAGGACAGCGACGCCCTCACTTTTCAGAAGTACTCAAAGCAAGATGACAATAAAATCAGGGTGAGGAGTTAGGAAGCATTATAACCATTTTCCTCCAAATCATCTCTTTAAACATAAAGTTGTAATTACTGATTTTTAAAGTAGTAGTTCTTTTTTTTTTTTCTTTTTTTGTCTTTTTGAGACAGGGTCTCCTTGTAGCCCCAGCTGTCCTGGAACTCACTATGTAGACCAGGCTGGCCTTGAACTCACAGAGATCCACCTGCCTCTGCCTCCAGAGTGAGTGCTGGGATTAAGGGCGTGTGCCACCACGCCTGGCAAGTAGTAATTCTTAAAGATGTTTGGGTCAGGGTCTCTTGAGCCTCTACTATAATAAAGTCAAGTATTCTTTCTATAGAAAACTAACTGTAGGGGCTTGAGAGATGGCTCAGTGGTAGAACGCCAGCTCCTTGTCCAGAGGACTGGGCTTTGGTTACTAGCACCCACATGGTGGCTATCAACTGTCCAAAACTCTAGTTCCAGGACATCTGATCACTTCTTCTGGCCTTCAGGAGCATTGCACACACATGGTGCACGTATATCCGTATCCATGCAGGAGAATACTCCTATACATCTAAATAAATAAATAAAAATAAATAAATAAAATTTTTAGAAGGTGACTAGTCAGATACCACGAAGGATGGCTGCATCTGTTCTGCAGCTTCTCTGAAGCACTTGAGCAGCTAGGGATCCCAGGTTAAGAGTGTCCTGATTCAGAGGGACTCCTAAAAGCATTTCAAAAGAGAGATTTGTGCCAGAACTGTTCATTGATTCGTGGGTGTTTTGTCTACAGTGTAGTCTGAATATTATGTGGAACTTCTGACCTGAGACACTAGTACCACTAACAAGCCGTCGGAACGTCATGTGCAGCCCTCCCACTCTCTCTGCTGCTGCTCATGGCGTTAGTGCCGGAAATGTGCAACTTTCTAGCAGATTTAATATAAACTGCACTGTTTTAAATATTTTCAAATAGAAAAATTGTATTTCAGTCTCTTTTCCAAGTTACTTTCAAAGGTATTACAAGCTGTCTTAGGAATAAGGGATTTTCATGATGACCTATGGGAATTAGATTCATCTTTGGGTTAGGTACCAAGGAAGATGTGTGTTTAGGTTGTTAGCGAGTAGGCACCTCCGTGGGCGCAGTGATGCAAAACGTAGAGATGTCGTACACCAGCTTTTAAGTTAAAGTAAAATGGTGATTATAAACATTTCCCTGTCACCACATTGCAGGCACTGACCCTGCAGTTAGAAAGACTGACCCTGGAGTGCAACGAGAAGAGGAAAGCTCTCGACAGTGAGCTAACAGAGACAGTGAGCGCTCAGGTGGGTTCACAGACTTTCACGTCTTAGCTTTCAAGGTGATGTCTGCAAACGCATTTGGATAACGGGAATGTAACTCGCTCTTTCTTTGATAGTTAGAACTGGACAAAGCCTCACAGGACTTTCGCAAGATTCATTACGAGAGACGAGAGCTCATCCGACAGTGGGAAGGCACCATCGAGCAGATGCAGAGGCGGGATCAGGAGATCGACCACTGTGCCCTGGTGAGGGAGCTCGGCCACCAGTGCGCAGCCCCACCGTGTCTCCTCCATGGAACTCCTATATCAGATGTAGATTTCTGTTATATGAAGGTCACTTTTTGGCAGGATTCAGTGGTTTTGGTAAATGTTTTCAAAGGTGACTGCATTTAGCACAGGACCCTGAAGATAAGCTGCTTATAGTATCATCACTGGAGATGGGATCAGTTCCTTTCAGGGACACTAATGCCCGAGCTTTCCTGCGGCTGTTCATAGTGACTTGGTTTTAACATGCATGCTGTTTGGTAGTGAGGTACAGTTGTGGAGAGATGGCCTTGGTAGATACTGAAGCTGAGGAGGAGGACCAGAAGAGAAGCCTGGACAGGAGGCATTCCTCTTCTGAAGCTGGGCACCAGTGATGACTGACAGCCCAGGCATGGACGGGATCATCTGGAAGTAACTCAGGGCCTCTGCTGTCAGCTGTAACTTCCAGGGGGGTTAGGAGAACATTGAGAGGAAACAAGGGGTTGGCGTTAAAAGTTGGAAGAGCCGGAGGAGTTGAGAAGACAGAGAGGACAAAAGGAGGCAGGGGTAGGGGATGTTTAGTTCCACTCGATCTCCACGAGGAGGTAAGCAGCTGAGGTCTGGGTGTCTGGACTTCAGGGAGCTGGGGGTGGCTTGTCTGTGATTCCTCTTTTATTGACAGCCTGGCTGTGCCTCTCTAAAATGGGCAAGAGCAGCATTGCCACAGGCCTCTTAGTCCTTGGTGCTGGTGTTGGTGTCTGTCAAGTCCCAACTCTTTCCATACATGAATCAGGCAGGCCCAAGGTCCCAGATCCATGACCATGTTAGCAGCAGGCATACCAGATGCAGAAGCACTCTTGGGAAATGGGAGTGTTGCAGACTGTATTTGCATTTTCCCAAGAGGTATAAAAGCCAGTATGATGAAGTCTTTGGGGTGAGCCCTGGAACATTGCACTTTGACTTCTGCTGTCTGGCTGCAACAGCACGACATGAAGAAGGCTGTGGTTTTGTAAGAGTACCACATCACAAGTAGTTACTTGGCAGAATTCTATTTGGAGAAACTTGAGAAGTATGATTTAGGATGTCTTTTTCATTCAAATTCATCAAAGCTGTTACCTCCGGAGTCACTAGTGAAGATCTTGTTTGAGGTCCTCTCCAGCCTTAAGGCTTTGTTCTACATTGCCTAAAAGTTGGCCTTTTTTGAACTTGGTACAGATCATAGTCTGGCCCTCAGCCCTACTTTTCTAGCCTGCTTTTTCAGCCTCTTTTACCTGGGTCTCGTCCTTATTGTGTTGCCTTCCCAACTTCGCCTACCACTCTCTGCTCCAAGCACATGAACATGTTTATGCATCTCTATCCATGTAGGTCTGATTTAAGTCATCCCTGTAGGTAGTAAGGTCTGGCTCTCTTGGGTAGTATTCAGTGTCTATTTTTTTCTCACAGGACCTTTTCTGTATATTAGCTACATAACTTTGTGGATTCTTTTTACTGCTATGTCTTTAAGACCATCAGATAGCTTAAAAGAAGACATTTTAAAATTTACTTTTATGTGCATGAGTGTTTTGCCTATATGTATGTAGGTATACCACATGTGTGCCTGGTGCCTGTAGAGGCCAGAAAAGGGTGTTAGATCCCCTGGAACTGGAGTTAAGGATGGGTTAGTTAGTTGATGCGGGTGCTGGGAACTGAACTTGGGTTCTCTGGAAGAGCAGTAAGTACTCTTAACCTCTGAGCCGTCTCTCCAGCCCCATTCTTATTGAAACCAAAAAAAAAAAAAAAAATGCCAGTTATGTTTTGTTTTGTTTTGTTGGTACAGGGTTTCTGTGTAGCCCAGGCTGGCCTTCCCCTGACTTTGTAGCCCAGGCCAGCCTTCCCCTGACTTTGTAGCCCAGGCCGGCCTTCCCCTGACTGTGTAGCCCAGGCTGGCCTTCCCCTGACTGTGTAGCTCAGGCTGATCTCAAAATTTTGATATTCATGACTCGGCCCCTTGAGTGCTGGGATTATAGATGTGTGCCACAATACCTGGCTAAAATGTTATTTCTGAAAGATGAAAAATAGTTGTCTATACAATATTTGGGAAATTTCACTGAAACCTCAGATTCTATGTGAAAAATACTCAGTGCTTGCTCTTGGGGCGGGTGTTGTCCTTCACGTGTAGACGCCTACCTGGTTCCTCCATCTCTTTATCAAAGTTCCAGAGAAATGTAAGAAAACACAGTGATGCTCTATGCTGTAAGTTCACAGGCATTGGTGTTTGCAGATCAGAAACTGTTTACTCATGAGTCTCTCTTAAAAATGCTTTTAAAAGTTTTATTTTAAGGGCTAGAAAGTTCGCTTAGCAGCTAAGAGTGCTGGCTATTCTTGTAGAGGACCTGGGTTCGAATCCCAGGACCCACATGGCTGCTAACAACCATCCATAACTTCAGTTCCAGGGGATCCGACACCCTCTTCTGCCCTCTGTGACCATTGTATGATATGGCTGTACTTACATGCAGGCAATACATGAATACACATAAAAATAATAAAAATAGAAACTTTATTTTAAAAAATGGGTGCTGAATATAAGAATGAAAGAATGAAACTACATTCCCTTTTATTTTAGTTTGTTCCTATTAAATAAATACACAATAATAAATTAAATGCATGCATTTGTTTCATTAGCAGTTAGCAAGGATAAAGCAGGAAATGAGAGAAAAAGAGAATGTGGTTAAAGAAAAGATCAAGTTTCTGGAAGATGAGCTTGGGAACAATGTAGAGTTTGAGAGAAGACTCTCTGCTGCGGAGCGCAGAGTCGTGAAGCACAGGATGGAGTACCAGCGCCATGAAGCCAGCAGGAGTCAGCTGAAGGATGAGGTCTGTGTGCTCACAGAGAGGGCTGAAGTCAGCCAGGAGCCTGTCCTCTGATTGGGGGCCACCTTCTAGCCCTTTTCCTTAAGACTCTTTAGTGGTTTTTGTTTTCTTTGAGACAGCTCTCACCAGGAGACGGTGTGAATCTTGTGTAACTGGGAGATGGGTGTGAATCCTGTGTGACTGGTGGATGGGCTTGAATCCTGTGTGACTGGGAGATGGGCGTGAATCCTGTGTGACTGGGGATGGGTGTGAATCCTTGTCCCTGGGAGATGGGCTTGAATCCTGTGTCATTGGGAGATGGGTGTGAATCCTGTGTCACTGGGGATGGGTGTGAATCCTGTATCACTGGGAGATGGGTGTGAATCCTGTGTGACTGGGGATGGGTGTGAATCCTGTGTCACTGGGGATGGGTGTGAATCCTGTGCGACTGGGGATGGGTGTGAATCCTGTGTCACTGGGAGATGGGTGTGAATCCTGTGTCACTGGGAGATGGGTGTGAATCCTTTGTGACTGGGGATGGGTGTGAATCCTGTGTCACTGGGAGACGGGCGTGAATTGTGAATCCTGTGTCCCTGGGAGACAGGTGTGAATCCTGTGTGACTGAGAGATGGGTGTGAATCCTGTGTCACTGGGGTATGGGTGTGAATCCTGTCACTGGGAGATGGATGTGAATCCTGTGTCACTGGGAGAGGGGTCTGACACATTACTGGGAGGAAGCATGTAGCAAGAGGAGGACATATTGAGTCTCGATTTTCCAAATCCAGCTGTGCTCCTTCCTGATTTCCGTGGCATACTGTGCGTATGTATCATGTATCTGGAGTCACATGACACTTTCTCCCTGGGCAGGCAGGACTAGTGAGTGGACATTTCTGCACAACTTCTATATGTAGATATTTACAATTTTCTGGTATTATGGAAACAAAGTCATTCAGAATTTGGTATGTGAATAAGTAGATTATGTTAATTACAGAAGCTACTGTTTCATGGGCGTGATGCAGATTAGAAGGTAGAACAGATCTTAGACATGAGGCTAATTTGTAGAATGTAGAATAAATACTTCCTCTTTCGTTCCTGATGAACAGCTGGATATTTTAAAAGCCACTCTCAGTAGGACATCCAGTGACTTAGAAGCACTGAGGAAGAACATTTCCAAAGTGAAGAAGGACATTCATGAAGAAAGTTCAAAGTAAGGAATAGCCCTAAATGTGTTTGTGTTTTGAGACTTAGAAGATTATTAAAGATTGTTTTTGCTAAATACATGCAAAATTATAGCGCTACATTCTTGTTGGTGCTCAGGATGAAAACTACGACCTTGTGCGTGCTAGGCAGGCACTCTGTCACTGGGGCACTTCTTCAGCCTGCTGAGCTCCCCCCAGTCCCGTGAGCTCCCCCCAGTCCCCTGAGCTCCCCCCAGTGTTCTGAGCTCCCCCCAGTCCCCTGAGCTCCCCCCAGTCCCCTGAGCTCCCCCCAGTCCCCTGAGCACCCCAGTCCCCTGAGCTCCTCCCAGTCCCCTGAGCTCCACCCAGTCCCCTGAGCTCCCCCCAGCCCAGCTACTTCATTATGCAGCTCACATTTTCCTGTTTTTTTCATAACCTACAGGGTATATCATGGTAT